TTTGTTAGTTCTCTGAAAAAAAAATAAATAGCTTGTTGTGATGCTTTTGCCAGGCATCATCCATAATGTTTTACTGTTTGGCAAAAGGAGAGGGGAAGTAAATTGCATAAAGTGTATTTGTGTTTTAGGGTATTCATGAATTCCAGAAAAGAAAAAAAAAAAAGCATGTCCTCATCCATTCTGTAGTCCTTCCAACTGCTGACTTTTTTTTTTTTTTTAAGTTTTAGTACCTTGTGTCAGAATCATGCAAAGACTTAATGCACATATTGCTTTAAATTCTCAACGTACACAGGATCCCAGTAGAGGTACGAATGACAGACTGGTTTGGCAGCTCCTTAGCAGCACAAAATTAAAGTTTGGCTTTTTAAATACCTTTTTATGTTTCGGAATTGTGTATGAAATGTGAATTCCTAGCAGAGGCTATTTGTAGAGATGGGAGGATATGCAGACTTAGTGTCACTTTATATGAAATGCTGATGAATATTTTGTTTTCCCCAGCTGTAAAATTTCCATCACGGTATAACACTATTAAAATATAATGTTGAATATTTAGAGATGCTGTCATACGCTCAGCTATAAATCATCAGCCTTTGTTGCTCCTCCGCAGGCTAATCTTTTTAGCTGCTGATATAATTGGCTCATAACTTAGGGATCAGGCTGAAATACAACTTGAGCTGCTTGGCGTATGAAGGAAATCCAGCGTGGAGATCTTTAATGATATCGCCGCTTTCATCTTGACCCTTCTGCAGCTTTCAGGATAAGTCTGTTGAGGTTTTTTTTTTTATTTATATAGTACCCAATTTTGTAAAATAATTTACATAACGAATCAAGGCATTCTATTTTTCTTGCCCCGGAGAGCTTACAGTCTCACTCGAAAAGGGATTTGAGGATGAAGGGAGGGTGGCAGCTCTTGCTGTGGGCACACAGGGTGTCCTGGAGCTTTTCTGCGTGTGAGGTTATTCCTTCCCTTTGTTTGCAGCCTGGGCTTTTGTTTGTTGTTGCGTATCCATAGATCTGCCCGTTGGAAGAAAGTTTATTTTGAAGCCAGAGAGCTGTATGTAGATTGTGTTTATGAAAACGAATGTATAGAGGTGCTTTTTAAAAGCATCTGTGCTAAGGGAAGACAATAATTTGCTAGGGCAGAAGATTAAGAATTTTTCACTTGGAGAAAGATTTCCTTTAAAGGTGCTTTAGAATGGCTGTTGCAGTATGTGGTGGTAGGGAAGCAAATTAAAATAAGACTCATCCTTGTGAGTGGTGCCACAACTTTGCCAGTTCCTTAAGTCCCCTTCTTTGTACCCCTGCTGCTTTTCACAAGGAATACCTTTGGATTTATTTTTTTGTCTTAGAGAAGTGGGGTTAGTGGCCGTCATTGCGCTAGCGAAGTCATAGAGAGAGTTTTGCTAAGGAAAAAACTGTTGAAGGTTTTGAACAGAGAACACTTCTGGCTTTGAGAGGAGGATTTCCTGCCTTGCTTGCTCCCAATACCCAGGGAGAGACTAAATGCTTCCCAGAAGGTGCTGGGCAGGAGGAGGGTCCAGATTTTTTTTTCTTCCCTGCGGGTTTCTCATCCTCCCTGTTGTTCTCTGGTTTGGAGAGAAGAGACGTGCGAGGCTCTTCCCCAGCTGCGAGGGCTCCAAGTGGCAGCATGGAGGTGGTGACAAGAAGCAGCGTTTGCTTTTTATGCCTTGGCCATTAAAGCTGGCGTCTTCCTGCGCTGGTTATTTCAGCAAAACCTTCAGAGTGAGAAAAATCAGCCTCCGGGCTGCCCAAAGGCTCCGGGATGCCACCAGTGCTGCTGCTCTGGGTCTGGCTGTCTTCTGCAGCAGCTCTTGGAAAAAATGCTGTAGAGGGTTGCAAGGGAGAGAGAGATCTCTGGATGGCCTTCAACTGCTGGGAGAAAGCAGTGTTTTAAGAGAAATCTCGGTAGCAGATGGTGATGGCGTTCATCCAAGAGAGCTTCCTCCTTCCTCCCGTCGAAGGGATGGATTTTTTCTAGTCTTGGAGATGGAAGAGCTGTTGGTACCCTGCGTGTTCGTGTTGTCTGGTTTCCTGTAAGTGTAAGGAAAAAAAACAACTCATGGTTCTCCGTGTTGTTGCAATAATTTCCTCCTCCTGTTTGTGTGCCACACCCCTTTCCTACAAAACTGGGTTTATAGGGGAAGTTTTGTCCGTGCCCCAGATTATTTGAGTGCTCCGTGCGGGCTTTCCTGCACAGAAAATCCTTTACGATATGATAAAGATTTGAGCTAGGATGCTTTTTCCTTGGATTCTTAACCTGTGGCTGGGATGTATGTAATGAGAGCTCCATAATTAAGGTTAATTTGATTTAAGTTAATTACCCTAACAGGCTGTCTTTCCGGATGTGTCCCTGGTGAGTTCCTGCAGGTACAGCCGAGTTGGCAGATGCAGAAGCCCACAGCTCCGTGCGGAGGCTTTCGGGATGTGTGGAGCCGGCTCTGGGCTGAGGCCGTGTCCCAGCACGGGGGGCTGGATGCTCTTTTTTGGGTGAGCTGGGATTTTACGGGGCTGAAGTAAGCCCTGAGCCCGACCTGACGGCAGTTTACACCACGCTCTGCAGGAATCGTTGCTTTTGCTCTGTTGGCTGCGTCTCCTGTTGTGCCGGACAGTGGGTAACCAGCGGGGTTTAACCCCAGGTTGATGCTCTGCTAGTCCAGTGGCAGCTATAACACTGAATGAAAAGGAAATTTATAGATATTAAAAAATTCAAGGTCTTGAGGGCAGTGAGAATGAGCTGGGATGAAGTTTCTAAGGAGCTGCTGTGGTTTTTTGGGGATGAAGACTGATGGAACGAGTCGGTGATTCTAAAATCTGAAAGGTTTGGGTCCCTGAATGTAGGAGTTTGGTGTGTGAACTTCACAACCAACTTGAAAGCGAACTAGTGGCATTCTGCTGAGCAAACGCACGTACCAGCTGAGTGTCTGAAGTGGAAGCCTGTCGCTTGGGACAAAGCAGCCCCTACGGCATTTTCAGCTCCGTGGCTTCAGCGAGGCACCGTGCCTTCGTTTTGGGATACATCTCTGAGACCCCACCCTGGGCTCTCTCTCTGTTTTCCCCTTGCACAGCCTTGCAAAGTGAGCTTGGGGAGAGGATTGCTGTCTCATAAATACGAGGGTGGGGATGCTTTAAGAAAAAAAAACAAAAAAACAAAAAAACCAACATTTGCATGTCCTTACAGGAAGAAATATATTCCAGAAATCAAAAATGAGGTTTCCCGGCACCAGGAGAGGAGGTTTCTGGAACCAATCCCTTCATCAGAGCAGAGATGACGACAAAAGGGCTTTTAAGAGTGGGAAATTTGTGAAAAGGGAGTCCGGGATGTCGGTGACCGTGACAGACAGGAGCAGACTTGGCTGAGTACCGTGGGAAGCCTCTTCCTCTTCCTTTTCTTGCCTAGAGCTTGTTAGTTTTCCACCAGAGTTTTAAGCAGTATGGAAAAGCACAGTGAACGTGGGGAAACTGGTTTTAGTGACCCGGGTGTTTAAATAGAGCGGTGTTTACCAGTTCAGGCACTGGAGGGACTGGAGCGGCAGCAGTGCCTTGCCCGCCACTGCCCTGGTTGTACCCGTGCGACGCTGATGGCGTTTTCACTGCTGCTTCTCGCAGTAGCAGGGCGTGATCCCTGCTCGGCTGTAGTTAGGTGAGAAATCTAAGTCTTGGATTCAAAGAAAGACAAAATACCTGGAGGGGGTCCTATCCTGCCGTTAATACGGGGGCTGCGGTAACGCCGCGCTGGAGGTGGCTGTCATACGGCGTGAGGAGGGGCTGCGTACGGGATTTTAGGTTCCCATCCTCAAATGCTAACAGCGTTTGGAATTCTGGAGTGCAGGATGAGAAATTGTCATGGAAAAAAGTCCTGGTTTCTCTCTCCGTTGGACTGTGATTCAGATTTCTCTCATTCTTGAGCAGTTATTTTTATGTCTGTTCTTGTTTGAAGTAAAAGCATTAGAAAGAGAGGATGATGGAGATTTGGATGCGTCTCCTAAAATAGAGCTTGCATCTTCTTTCAAGATTTCTTTTGGTGATGGTTGGGGGTGGCCTCTATGTAAATATTTAAAAATAACTCGGGGATTTAAAAATAGCATAGGGAACTGATGGCTCTAGCGGCTCCTGGGGAACTCACAGAATCCCAGGATGGTTTGGGTTGGAAGGGACCTTCAAGCCCATCCAGTCCCACCCCCTGCCATGGGCAGGGACACCTCCCACCAGCCCAGGTTGCCCAAAGCCTCATCCAGCCTGATGTGGAAGAATTTGACTAAAAACTGAAATTCTTCTTTCCAGAGGAACATTAGGAACATCTGGGCTGCATTCAGGTTTATTTTCTAAACATTCCTTTTTTTTTTTTCTCCTTTTCTGTAAGGGTTTAATCCTGCTGCCGTCAGCCAGAACACGTGGCTCCATTTTTCTCTTTGCTCTGGAGACCGTGTATATCTTGTTAGCTCTAGCCTATCCTTTAGCTCATTAATAGTAATATTAATCTGTTCCAGTTCTCAGCTCTAATCGCAGATTCCATCTGATCAGGGTTTTCTCTTGATCTTTTCCAGGAAGCTCATTATCTCATACAGCTGTAAATGTTGCTGGGCCTGACACTAATGCATATTTTGTACCACGGGGGGAATTTGACTAATAAAATAATCCAATTAGACATTTGTTTTTGTCTCCCTTGGGGCATCTTACATTACTTGTCTACCTCAGTTACGTGGTGTAATTAGGGAACGTTTGTACATCCCTTTGATGTAAAAGCAGGGGTGTTATCCCTGGCTCGGGATCAGAACTTTATAAAAGGAATAGCCGGGGATTAAAACGGCAGCAGTGTCTGCGGGTGTACGGATCCTGTCGGAGTCACTTGTGCTTTCCACAGATCAAACAAGCCTATGTTTCGGAGTCCTGAGAGAATTGCATGAATTAATTCCGTTTATTAGAATTTTACTGGTTGTATGACAGTATCATACCCTATTTCTTTTTTTTTTTCTCTTTAGTCTTCCCTTGGTTTGGCTTGGATATTGGAGGGACCTTGGTCAAACTTGTTTATTTTGAACCAAAGGACATCACCGCTGAAGAGGAGGAGGAAGAAGTGGAAAATCTCAAAAGCATCCGTAAATACCTGACATCAAACGTAGCCTACGGATCTACAGGCATTCGGGATGTGCACCTCGAACTAAAGGACCTTACCCTGTGTGGACGTAAAGGCAATCTGCACTTTATACGCTTTCCTACTCATGACATGCCTGCTTTTATTCAAATGGGAAGCGAAAAACACTTCTCGAGCCTCCATACTACCTTATGTGCCACGGGAGGTGGAGCGTACAAATTTGAGCAGGACTTTCGCACAGTATGCATTTTCTATGCTTCTATACGATTAGGATCTGGTAGTGAATTTCTTTTTTTTTTTTTTTTTTAAAGCTTAAAACTAGAAAACTGATTTTGCAGACTCTAAAACTTCTCTAAATTTTAGCTTTGGAAGAGTGTCCCTAACTCAAACTAAACTTGGTTCAGGAAACAGCATGTGGGGTCGAGCTCACATCTCCAAATGAGACTTTCCTGAAAGCGCCTGTAGCATTCCTGTAACTCTCAAATGATTCCCTGACCCCATGCCGTGTGCTCTCACAAGACTTTCTCTGTGTCATTAATGCTCTGTTTCGCTGATCTCAGTCTTGTGGGTTTATTTTTTCTCATTGCTGTCTATCACGGGCTGAATATCTGTTGTATTGTGCCTTTGCTCGGGTGGTTTCCTTTCTAACCCCCGTGGGAGTGAGCTGGTTGGGGCTGGGGCAGTCTGGGGCTGGGCTCACTGACGGGAGGGTGGGAGCTGGGGTTTGACGTCATTGTGTGGCTTCGTTACAAGTGTGATTCTTGTTCGTAGGTGAAAAACATGGGTGATAAACACTTTGTTTAACCAGGGCTTGAAAAAAGGCACCAAATAAAGAGGTTTTTTGTGCAGACGAGGCATTGACATGAGGGGAAAACAATTTCATAACTTCCTCTGTTTTCTGGGTGGTTTTTTCGTTGGAATTTTTTTTTTTTTTTCTCCAGCAGTCCCATCTCATTTTCCTTTGTTTTTCATGTGAATACCTCAGAGTCAGAGCCTAAATCAGGCCCGTGGAAGTTGATGGCATTCTCCTGGCATCCATCTGCGGATCCAGTTGTTCGTTTTCCTCCTCTCCCACGTCTGCAGCCTTCAGGGCGGGGACAGTTAGCAGCCCACGTACGTGGAGAAGGATGGAGCCCTCCTGGGGTCTGGCCTCACTCTGCCACCACGGGGACTGCGGGGATGGCTGAATTCAGCTGGCAGTGAAGGCATTTGTCTAGCTCTGAGCATAAACTCCAGATCCTGAGCTACTTCTTGAATATTCTTATTTTCTTTTTTCCCTGCCAGATGGGTGACCTTCAGCTTTGTAAGCTGGATGAACTCGATTGCCTTATTAAAGGAGTTTTGTACATCGACTCCGTTGGATTCAATGGACATTCAGAGTGTTACTATTTTGAAAACCCGACGGATGCTGAACGGTGTCAGAAGCTCCCATTCAACTTGGAGAATCCGTATCCTCTCCTTTTGGTGAACATTGGCTCAGGGGTCAGCATTTTGGCAGTGTATTCGAAAGAAAACTATAAACGGGTAACGGGCACCAGGTGAGTGCTGTGTTGGGGGTCAATTGGGTTTTATTTTAGAGTCTGGAATGCATTTTTGTACCTTAAATGACATTTTCAGGGACAAGCTGCAATAAAGGTGGTGAGTTGAATGACCAAGCTCCTGCTTTTACTGCAGTCCCTGTGACCTCTGCCAACAAAAATTCCTCCTGGAAGAGAGAATCTGAATTTCATGTTTTGGTCTCTTTACTGCAACCTGCTGCAGGAATTAAAGTGTTTTATTTGCCATCAGAGAGATCCCATTCCTTGAGATTAACCCAAATATACTCGTAGTGATCATGTTAACAACTGCTTGGTAGAGATTTGCATCTTGACTTGTGGAATTTATTTTGATGGCAGGGATGCTGGCACAGGCAGTTGCTGGGCAGCTGCAGCTCCCCTTCCTGAAGATGTGACTCTTGTTGCCAGGCAAAGCCAAAGAGCTCTGTGGCTTTAAGCTTTCCTGAATTTCTTAAAAATTAGCAGTAATAATAAAAAACCCCTCCCAGTAGATATCTTACTCTTATACATCATTATTGGCATGTGTGCATAGTGAAGTGGACAGGCCACAGGGTTTTTCCCTAAGTTTTGAACAGCTGTGCCCTGATACTCCCTCACCACTAATATTTATCTTAAGCTTGACTTCTCTGAGTGCTGGGAAGAAGGTGGATATTGTAAAATAAATAATTTGTCATTTAGAAACAAACCCTCTGCAGGAGGCTGTGAGGGCGCGGGATTCCTTACAGGCTGGAAGGGATTTAAAGAAAACCGCTGCCCTTGCAAGAGTGCTCTCTCTGAAAAGAGACGATGCTGAAGGAACAGGGCAACCTGAGCTAGCTCTGCTCGTAGCCTCGTAATCCCAGCTTTCAGCGGAATGAGCTTTTTCTTCATCCCTTTCGAAGTGAGGCGGGTGACTTTCATGGTGCTTTGTGTTGCAGCCTTGGAGGGGGAACCTTCTTTGGTCTCTGCTGCCTTCTTACCGGTTGCTCCACCTTTGAAGAGGCCCTGGAGATGGCATCCCGCGGAGACAGTACCAAAGTGGACAAACTAGTGCGGGACATTTATGGAGGAGACTACGAGCGATTCGGATTGCCAGGCTGGGCCGTAGCATCCAGGTAGGGACTTGACTGGTTTTTATTTTGGATGGATTTTAATTAACTGGGTTAATGTGTCTTAGAGCCACCATTCCTCCTGCTGGGCTGTTTTAACAGATCAAAGTGAATGCTGGCGCTGCTGTAAATACTTGAAGATGAATCACTTTGGTTAAATGAGCCGTTCCCATTCTCTCCTGGAATTCTGATGCTAATGGACCTTTAACCCCAAAACTCTCTTTACAGCTTTGGAAACATGATGAGCAAGGAGAAGCGGGAATCTGTCAGCAAAGAGGACCTGGCGAAGGCGACTTTAATAACCATCACTAACAACATCGGCTCCATCGCACGGATGTGTGCGCTTAACGAGGTACTGGGGGGAAATCCGTTTGTTTGCTGCCTGAAGCATCGCCTGTGTGCCACTGTCA